TAAAAGTTAAAAATAATCGATTTTAAAAGCCTTTTTTCCACTAGTGTCAACTAGATGTGTTTTGTCTTCGCATGAAACACAAGATTCTTTGCAAGATGAATGGCGATATGATTATCACTACAAAGAGCATTGTCACACTGCTTCTTGCCCAACTCTTCAAGAAAATTCTTTAACCAAATCATTTCTTTACCAGCTTTTGAAATAGCCATGTACTTTACTTCTGTGGTTGAAAGTGCAAAGCTTTTCTAAAGTTGAGACATCTAACTAACTGTTGTGCCACCTACTGTGAAAACAAATCCTGTAGTACTCTTCCTTGTGTCTGAACAACCTCCCAAATCTGCATTAGAATATCCTTGCAAAAATAACATCATTCTTACTTAAACATAATGCAATCTTAGAAGTACCTTTAAGGGTCGCAATATCAAAGCGACGACGATTTCAGGATAACCATTGTAATTTGTCCTTCACATCATTTTCTAGGAGGTCAACAAAAACTCCTCTAAACTTAAATTTCATCACACAGGCATGAACATGACGGTGCAATTCATTCTCATACTTCTTACGTCTTAGAGAGCATTTTAGGGATCTCACTGAAAAAATCTTGCTAAAGACAATGAGTTTGTTTGTTTAAAATTAAAAAGGCATTTTTTAATGAAATAGATAGAATTTATTTCTTAAAAAAACCGTATGTCTCGTCGAATATCGAGTGTACTCGTACTCGCTTTATACCATCCAAAAATTAATTAAATGTTTTTTTTGTAAGAAAATTAAAAAAAAAAAAAAGAATTTCAACATATAATAGTAGTTACAAAATTACATTAGTTAAGTTTCATTTGACATAAATTTAAAATAGAGTAAGAATTATATAAATGTTAAGTAATTTTTTTTAAAATAAATTAAGTTTCTAAAAATTTAAAGTAGGTAAGAATATACTCATCCCCCTCTTTGTACATGGTTTAATAAATTATATATTATTCGTATCCGATCAAAATGGATATTCTCCGTCAAAGTCAGAATGAACTTGAGTATTACCCATAAGTATGGGTTTACTTGTCATCCCTACACATTGAACATGAGTTGTATGACGTTGGATATGGGCAAGGCAGAGGGTTCGCTACTTCAATGGCACCAGGTGTAGAGTGGATAACGTCGGGTGTAGGTTGCCTTAATTCAACTTGTTTTATGATGAAATTTGTGAACATGTATAGGATAGTTAGATCTATTACAAGTTGTATGATGATTGAGTTATGTTATATGTTGTATATTGATGTATGATGTTGATTGATATAGGATAATCTAGGATAAGACTAGAGGAAAAATTGTTTTTAAAGTTGCATGTCCCATAGTGAGGATATTGTGTTGTGGACTTGTGGTGCTCTAAGAACCTAGTTTGTTGGAAAACCCTTTTTAAGAAGTTGATCCTTGAAGTAGATAGTTAAGTTTCTTCTAAGACCTTAGTTAATGTGGTATGTGGGTCAAGACGTCATGACATACAGTCTATAAGCAACCACAGTTGCTCCATATGTAGGTAAGGTCAAGACACACGTGTATAAAGTGATCAAATTAGAGTAAAGTACAAAGTCATGGGTTAAAACCACTAATTGAGTATTAGAAGCGCGTAGTATTTGAAGGATAGTTAGAGATTAATCTCGTAGGTAACTTAATTATGCTAACTAATGTTGTGGTAGTAATTTAACATCCAAGTTATTTTGCCATCCGAGCAATCATGTTGTTAGGGATTAGTATCCCAATTGGTTGTTGATCTACCTAGATTGAAAAGATTGGATTGTTAGTTCTGTAAGGTCAAGCTACTTAAATTGCTCACTTGTGTTATATGAGATCTCTTAGTTGAAATGTGTGATGATACATATAATTACTGTGTTGTGCATATGATGTGTTGACTAAGTTGTGTGATTCATATTTTATGTAGAATTGTGAGGAATTATATTTGAGATGTATTGTTGTGTCGCTCGAGTTGAAAAAATTGATGCCATATTGTGTTGATAAGTTGATGTTTCGTTGAATTAAGTTGAGTTGTTTATGTTAATAGTATAATTACTTTTACTTCTATAGTGATTGTGTTGATTCTTTGAATACCAACTTATCCTTGTAGGTTTTCATGTAATTTGATTGCAATGATCATACTTGGTATAAGAATAAAATAAACATAAGTTATTGTTGGAGCTTGCTATGAGACCATGTTAGGCGATGATGGTGTGGATCTTTTGAGCTTCTCTAGTGTGATTACTTATTAGCAGTCTTACTTGATGATCAACTAGGATTTCTTTCATACTTTAGTATTAGATTATTGTATATATATTTATACACTACATAGTAGTGGATAAACTTGTAATTATACATATTATCATTTGTATATCCATGTATTATTAGTATGTTAATCCTAGTTGATTGTAATTTTATATTCTTCCACGATTAGTAGTTGTGCCATAAGTGTAGTGACCTAACAAGTTTTTACAAGAGAAATTAAAAAAAAAAACCCTAACATTTTAATAAGTAAATTTTATTATTGTAATCAATTATTATCAAAGATGTAAAAAAATATCCATATCTTTTATTTAAAGTAAATAGATATCAAATTATTTAGATAAATTTTTATTTTGTTTTTCTGGAATAAGTTATTTTATAGAGAAAAAAAATCAAAGATGTATATGATCATACTACAAGAAAATGACGATTTTGCGACAGTTATATGACCTACATTGCGACGGTTCACCAACCGTCGCAGAAATGTCCGTCACGAGAGAATTTTGCAACGGTTACTAAAACCGTTGCACAAACCGTCGCAAAATTGGAATTGCGACCCTTACAACACTCGTCGCACCAACTGCCTCTAAATCAGTTGCTAAATATTTATTTTTTATTTTATTAAATTTTTTAGACGTCTCAAATTCGGTTGTTATTCTTCTCAAGGATTCTATTTCACAATACTTCACTTTTTAGCATGTTTTATCCTTACTTACACAGTTTCTGGAAAACTTCCCAGAAGGTCACCCATCCCTATATTACTCTAAGTCAAGTACACTTAACTGTGGAGTTCTTATGAGATAAGCTACAGAAAAACATATACATGTTGTCAGTATAAGTAGTACAAATTAATTCATTTAAGTCATTCTCAACTATACAATGTCATACTTATACTATCTTTGGATCTCTCTCATTCCGATGTGTCCGAATCGTTATAAATATATAATAATTATATTACTAATAATAATTATATTATATTTAATTAATCTTTATTTATATATATACTTACTTTTATAATTAACAATCTACTTATTTCTATTTAAAATTAATATTATGATATAATTTAAATTATTTATTATAAATTTAAAAGTTTAAATAATAATTTATATATTTTAAAATGAGAAAGGTTATAATAACACTGGTGTAACTTTTACTAAGTATTACACCGCTTAATAATCTTATATTAAATGTGAATTTTGTAAATCCAACCGTTGGATTGAAAGTTCATATCACTTTATATGTTTATATCAAATTTTGTTAAAATTGAACAAC